ATACATACATACACATGTGTGTATGTATCCGGGTCTACATGTGGGGTACCTTGGTCAAAGGGTTCGCTACACATAAATAAAAGGCAGGGAAATATATAAATAACTACACATATGCACACACACACACCTAAATACATCACATGGGATACCTTGTCCAAAGAGTTTGAAAAGCTTCATGGGTGTTGGTCGGGATATATAAGCTGTGGAGTGTTTTAGGGTTCCAGGGGACTTTAGGGATTGGCAAGCTTCAGGTGTACCAGTGGTGAGTTTTCCTGCGTTTCTCTTGCATGGGGAAGGCTGGTTCAAAGCAAACGGAGTGGTCTGCGTGAAGTGCTTCTTCCTCCTTGCAATGGTCCATCCCCGAAATCGATGCAAACCTTCTAGGCTTGCCAGCGCCTTCGGCCCACATGCAATCCGCACGAGATGACTTTCAACATTCGCAATCCTGTAGCCTGAGCCCATGACTCCTTCAAAAGCTCACCGACACACCCTAAACCTTGAAGCCCCCTTGCCCTGTACACTCTTACCCCAAGAACCCCTAACGGCCAAGACCCCCGTGTTGTAAGACGAACGCCAACAGCTGAGGTTCCTTTTCATTTTCATTATCATCCACGCCGTGGGCAACCTCCACGTCTTCCTAGGCCTGCCGCGTTTCGGATGTAATAGTTTCCGCGCTCTTGAACGCTGCACCCGAATATAGCAGTCAAAGTTGTACTCGGCCACTTCGCAGGGTCGACATACTCGGGATGATTGGGGAGAGAGTTCTGCAACCGCAAGAGGGTTGCAAAGGGAGTGCATTACGAATGCACGGGGCTCCTACATCAACAACCGTCAGAGACAGGTTGTGGGGCTCTCATCTCCAGATATGCTGCGGTGACCAACTCTGTTCAGGGAACATGGAGCTTCCGGCCAGCGGCTGAAGCCCGAAGCCCAAACCTGAAGCTGCAATAAAGCTTCATGTTGAAGATTGGCATGAAGTGTATTCGGCCGTCATTCATTATCAACCTCGGGTATTCAACTGCTACAATGGTGGACTCCAAGCCCAGACGAATCTATGAGCGAAGATATCCACATGCAAACTTGTCTCCCACAGAGCTTGTCTGAGAAGTTGGTTGTTTGTTGCTGTTGCCCTCTTCCCCGCGCAGCATCTCGGGACGACTCCGCAAGAGTCATGGCCGCCCTCTGCGCAGGGTTGAACAGGGGGTAGTAACGCAGGCACGGCACATGGAGCAGGAGAGGGTCAAGCATGGAGGGAGGAAACATGCAGACCAGTGGAAAGAAGGGAGAAGGGAGAAGACAAGCAGGGCAAAAATGACTTGGTCGCAACCCGAAAGAGAAATGAAGGATCGGTGGATCCGAGCAACCAAATCGGAAGAGAGGGAGATTGGAAGGAAGAGAAGAAAGGGGTGGGCAAGGCGAGGAGGAGAGAGAGAGAAGCTTGAGGGCGGCAAGCACCACATACGAGGGGCAGCAAAGCTCGATGGTGCGACAATTGCCAGAATGCACAAGGGCACATGCAGTCAGGTTTTTCGCACACAGCGCTCAAAATGTGTACGTAGCACAGAGGAAGCGCGGCAGGCGAGGACAGACACGCGGATGTGTCACACACGAGATGTAGCGGCGCACAACGGAGCGCCAATTCAGGTGAGGAGGGAGGGGGCGAGACAACAATCCCGCAGATGTCGTGCACAAAGATGAGCGCAGAGAGGAGAGGGAGGCGAGGGCGCAGAAGCACAAGAGCCACACAAGAGGCAGCATAGCACAATGCGGCGAGCAGTAGGGAGGCACACGCAAAGGCCGGCTCGGGAAGCGAGTTTAAATCTCACATCACATGCTAGGGATAGCCAGAAGGCATGGGAAGGAGCCGACAAAGAAAGAGAGGGAGGCTCCTGAGAGACGCAAGCGCCGCATACGAGAGGCAGCATAGAACAACGGGGCGGTTAAGGCGAGGAGGAGGGAGGGAAGCATAAAGCCACATGTCAATGGAGCGGGAGAGCCGGAGGCGACGCCCAAACCACGGAGCTCAAGGCTTCAGCATGACAAGCGGCGGAGGACAAGGCAGCCCCGCGGAGTGTAGTCGGGGAAAATGCAGAGGGCAACGGGGGCTGAACGAAAAGACACGCGGAAACGTTTCAAATGGAAGGAAGGGAGGTGAAGATGCGAGGAAGATGAGAAGGTGGTACTATCACCCGGCGAGGCGGCAGTAAGGTGGGCGCTCATCGACGGGGGGTGCTCGTCTCAGTGCGGATCCCACCAACCTAAGATAACCGGCGAGCATCCAGATAGTCCGTTGGGACGTTGAAAATGCAACTAGAGAACTGAAAGGTGCCTTCGAGTCCTGAACCCTCAACTGTAATTACGCCATGTCGTGATAACGTTACAGAGCTTGATGCTGAGTTTTAGTACTTCACTTGGACGCCCGGGTTGTTTGGAGCAGACCTTCTGGGATTCGTCGTTCTTTGCAACCTGCGATTTGCCTGCCCAAACCCATCAGACCTAAACGCCCGTGGTCCCTAAACCCCTAAATCCCGAGCTCTCGTGCAACGCCTGAAAGGCCCGGATGACTTCAACGGCTACGGCTACTTCTACGTGCGGCTCTATTGGACGGGCTTCGGCTTCCAGGCCGTTTGGAAGGTCAAAAAGGAGATATCGGGGTTTTTAGTGTTTTAATTGGTTGTATTTATCGGGTCGAATAAGTCGTTAAAGGTGTTTACAGGGCTGTTGTCAGGGTGTATCCAGGCAGCCCGAAACCTAGGGCTGTGCTCTTGGGTTTCTAACGGATGTTCATTTACAACTTTGAAAAGATGCAGGTTTCCTTGGAACGGCTTTAGGGTTGTAGGGCTTGGAAGGGCAAACGCTTTGGGTTTCGGGTTCGCCCAAGCCATACCTCGAACCCTAAATCCTATCCAGAGCACGGAAAGCTGTGTGTTTATTCTGTCTTCATCACACTCAAAGCCTGAGCCTTGAACCGCACCGTGGTTTCCGCCGTGAGATACGGGGAGTGAAACGAAGGAGGACGTTCTGGTCTGGCGTCCGGGGTAGAATTCTGGAATAGAATAGAGTAGAAGTCATGTGCGGCGGTTTGCCCCTTTTTATTGCTGTCACCGACTGGCCTCTATGAGTCTCAAGAGCCCTGCCACTTAGCAGCTTAGCAAGTCCCCAGATCCGGGCCCGGGACTGGTCATCTTCAGGCCAACATCGTAGAGGAGTACATCCTGCTGGCCGCGTTGCTGCACGTCGTGGTTGCTTTGCACCTCGTCAACACTGAAAGGGGTGGTTAGGGATTTTGGTGTTCAGGGCTTTGCAGGCAACTCATACCCGCAAGGGAGATTTCTTCGAATTGCAGAATCTGGTCTGGTAGAAGCAGTTCTGATAAACTAACCGTGGAATCTCTAACGCTTCCCTCTAAACCCACAGCCGACTCTATGGTCTCTATACCGTGTTCTGCTATTGCGTATGACTTAAGGGGTCTGAGGATGGGAGGTCTTTAGAGAGCCTGTGTTTTTATGTTCGTTACCGAAGTCTTCTAAAGTATTGAAAGTCGTGGTGTCGGACCACATAAAGGAAGCGAACCGTTGGCCTGAAAGTTTGAGCCTGCTGCATGCGGAGCCTGGCAGATGTCAGAGCTCTGTAGCTCAAGCCGCCATGCCAAGTGTCCCCGGAGAGCCTAGACATGTGTCGAACCAGTCCCGTAAGAGTATCGGATGCCAGGTAACGAGATTGTCGAAATTTTGAGAGCTGCACTGCTGCTGTTGCTTCTCAAGGGACACTATTTGCTGAGTACGTAAACTGAAGCCCGGATGTTGCGCTGAACCGTGAACCCCAAGCCCAAACCCTAAACCCATGAGCCCCACACCCTCGGCCTAAGCCCAAAAGCAGCGAATCCGGACCGATCTACCCAAGGCCGGATTCTGTTCAGGAACAGTTCATCTAAGGTACCCCGACATGCATAGTGGCTCTCAACCCGCATACAGAACCCCGCACAACCCGGACAGACCCCCGTGAAGCTTTATAACATAGATAGACCCTTGCGGAAGGAAGCGGACCTGGGACATCAGCATCAACTACACCCTGAACTCTGGAAAGATGAACCTGGCGCTCTCGGGCATCAGCCTGCTCACCTTCATGATGATCCACCTCTACCAGTTCCGGCTTCTTGACTTGACTGCAAACGCCATTTTTACACATGGGAGCTTCAGAACATGAGGGACCCATATATATATATATATTTATATTTATATTTATATATATATATACACAGAGACATACACTGGTAGACCCTAAACTGACCTCCTAGTTTTATGAAACAAGAGCTGCACCCCCTGCAGGACCCGAAGCCTGGAAGCACTACCGAATTCATTTGGGGCTCTGTCACAGGGGTTCATTTGGGGGTCGGCACAACTGTTTTCGGTTTTCTGGTTCCTGGCACCATTATAGTATGAAACCTTGAACTAAAACTGATTAGACCCTGAAAAAACGTCCGGTATGTGGCAGACTCACTAGCTTTGGTGGGCCTTCTCTTTCCCAGACCCAGAGGTTCGGCGACACCAAGCCGTGGAAGCTCTGCCCGCCGCCCTACCTGCTGAACCTCGACACGCTGCCCCCCGGCCCCAGCAAGCCTGATGCGGGTCGGGGCTTTAGGGATTCGTTGTTGTCTTGGGGGTTTGAGGGTTTGGGGTGTGGGCCCCGGGGCTTCGATTTCAAGGGCGATTTGTTCAGTGCTCAGGATGGGGCACAGTGCAAGACCCGGGGCAGATTTTCCGCAAGGGAAGCTTTGGTTCTTTGCACTTGTAGGGTTGTGAAGAGGATGATGAAGTGATGCATGTGGGGAACTTTGACAACCCCTAAGCATAACCTGCTCAGAAGATTGCTTGATCCTGAAAGCCTCCAACAACCTGGAAGGCCTTTAGGCACTTTAGGCCTTGTCAGACCAATAGCCTTTTGCCGTAAGCCTGTTGATTCTTCAATACACCCCATTTTATGCATTGCCCGGGGACCTATCGGGGGGTTTACTTGGGAACTGCTTTAGCACGAATTCTACCAGTCCCTAACCGTAAACCCGAAACAGCCATACATTCCCCCACCGCCCCACGTCCCCACCCTGAATCTCAAAGCCAAGGAGGTTGAAGAAGTTTCCTACTGGTCAAGGAAACGTATAGGAACCCTTTTTGGAGCAGCACCTTATGGCAACGGAACAACTTTGCAACATCTAAACGTGGGGCAAGAAACGCACATCCCCGCCCTCCAATTCTTGGCTGAACGCTGACACTCTACGTGTTCAGGCTGCACCTCCGGTTGACTCTTGGAGGCAACAGAGAGACTGTCTCGATCCGCTTGAAAGTTCAGGGTCGGGATTTCGAATGTAGTGTAGGTGTTGCACACTGCAAGCCAACGCCCCAAGAACAACTTGCAGCACCAAGTCACTAAGCCACTAAGTCAAGAGTTTTGGCCAGAACAATGGTAAGATAAGCCCTCACAGAGGGTTAGTCAGATTAATCACGTACTAGGCTCGCTATCTGAGGAACCTCTTCTGGGTGGACACTCCGGGATGCGAGTCCGTGTACGTGCGTGACATCTACCGCATGGAGTTCGAGATCTTCCAGCCTCTCATTGATGAAAGGGCTTGTGGCCTTACGGCCTACGATGATCTTAGTCTTAGTGTCAATCACATGAAGCTTGCCTGCCGCTAATTTTGGTAGTCGTAATTATTCGATACCATTATTTCTATGAAAATTACTAGTATTATGTCTTATTCTTATCAACACTGTTGCCAGTTCTACAGTTGTCATTGTAGTTGAGCAGCAGGGCGCCGTAGTTAGTGGTAGTGGTGGTATTCGTCGTCGTCGCGGTGCTCGTCGTAGTAGTAACAGTAGCAGCAGCAGCGGGAGCATGAGCAGTAGCAGTAGCAGGAGCAGGTG